ATATATATATATATATGCTAGATATTATTTTAAAAATTACTATTTCTTGAATATTTTATATTATGTAAAATGGATTATTTGTATATTAATAAAGATATTGAATATACAGCTATAATGTAGCCATATAGGAACGGTAGAAATGTCACAATTAATATTATCAGAAGACGTAGTCTCCTGTGTCTTATATCAAAAGTATATGCGCGAGATTATAACGTGTAGAATGTTTCGATCTACGATCGGTCAGCTTGTAAAAAGCATCAGAGCAATCGTAGTAATTGCGATTCGAGAAATAAACGAAGTACAGGTTTTCAAAAAGGAGTAATCACATGCCATTACTCTCGGGAAATATCTTTCACCATGTTCAAAGCGAAAACCTTGGTAAAGTAACGAGTACTCTTTCAGCGGGACGAAGTAACTCATTATGCCGTATAATTTATATTATTTTTATTCACACGATCTTCTCAATCTAGTAAATTTCAGTGGAACACATTTCGAACGGTTCCTGCAATAAGTAAAAACAAAGTGAACAATCAAAGTAAATTTGTCAAATCCAAACGAACTAATTGTAAAATTACTAATCGTAAATTACTTATTAAATTTTTCATGAATACAATACATTTTTCATAATCTCATACAATCCGTATTATATAAATACAATATTATTATTACTAAGAAATATTTTTCGTAGCTCAAAATGTGGAACAGTAACTGAGAATGATAGGTAGCAGGAGGGACGTGCAATAATTCAAGAAAGAATAACGGTCCATCTTCGTTTAATCCGATGCTAGGTTTACTCTCTTGCGCTGGATAGATCGTATTGCTAGTGGGCGAGATAAGGCGTTAAACAAAAGCGAGTAGGTCGGCGAGGGGATGATGCTGTGAATGCTTTCTGGTGCCTATCTCGTTTATACAGCTTTCTATGCGCACCGTCGGCTAATAAAAAAAAAAAAAAAGAAGGAGGGACGGAAATAACAGATCGCGCTTCGGCAAGCAGAATCTCGTGTAATTACCCAGGAGCGTCGTTGTACGTGCACTCGTATCACGTTCATCGATGCTCCGTGGAGAACGTACTCGAAGCCCGCTAACGAAAGGAAAGCGCGACACGTAAGAATGAATCTTCACGATCGATATGACACTGATTTATGCGATATATAAATAATTTAAAAAGGAAATGATACGTCCAATTAATATTTAAATTTCGCTTCGTCGAGATATTTCTATCTCAACGTTTGTCTCAATGACATCGTTATCAATATCAAACGTGAATAATATCGGTGTCGATACCGTGTATTATACACTGTTACTGCTTGTAATAACTGAACATTCGTCAGCATTCCCAGGCATCTTTGGCTATTCGATATCGGTTTCGCGGGTGTTAATTGCACCCACGCGATGTGTATACTGCATCATCCCCCCATACACACAATAATTTACGCATAATTGGTACAATTTGGATAACTCGCCTCGTATGAAATTATACCGTGTAAACACATGCGAACCCGTCTGCGCGTGCACAGTACGTATATAACTCGATAATTATGTATTCGTACATATTAAACGGGGACGAGCCGACTCGACGATTTCGACGAAGTGCTAAGAGGTGTCTAGACGGGGGAATATGCATGCGCGCCAACAACTCGAGCTGCTTGAAGATCGTTTACATTCTAATGTAAATATTGTATATGCACAATATATGCACGTAGACCGAAAATCCGTGCCCTGGAATCCCATGGGCGAGATTAGCTGTGCACCGCGCGGAGAGCCGAACAAATTTGTGGCGGTGGAAACGGGACGAGGGTATGTCGTTTTCACGATTAATTTTGTTGGTTCAAAATGAACGGTTCAAATGACGTTTGATTCCCGGGATGGGTTTCAACAAAAGAGAGAAGATGGCAACGATGAAAAGCTTAGCGAGATACCTTCCCCGAAGGGATGACTGATCCGCACAGTCATTTGGACTTAGCGAATCCACAATCCACAGACCCGAGGCTCAATACACTGCGGACACTCACATACATTTATATATACGTCACACATACGAATAATAGGTACACCTATATCTACACACATACGCTTATACATATATTGACTAAAAGCTTATTTTTTCTTATATATCTGTCACTCTTCCAAGAAATATCTGGATCTTCGGAAGTTGCGTATAGAACTTTTTTATTGATTTTCCCATAATGTCAGGAAACTGATCTTTTTTAGATTGAAAAGAACTTATCTTCGACATGGCTCCGAAATTATAAATGAGATACTAAGCGTATCATTTCACATTAATAGAATATCTCATGAGTTTAAAATTTAAATTTATATTGTGAAAATATTAAAGAACTTCATAAAAGTACACTCAACAGTTGTGTAAAGATAATAATAAAAATACTTTGCGCTTCGATAAGGAAAAATATAGAAAGATTTTCTTTCTTCCGAGAAGAAATAACTATGGTTATCTCGCGAATAAACGATGTGCTTCCGATGCTACTCTGAAAACAACCACTTTCAGCCATAATGCGTTTAATCATCAAGAATACTCTTACCACGAACCACTTTCTTTATACGCCACTTACTATCCATTTTTGTCCGTGTCTTTCGACATTCTGGGTTGATAGCACCTCGAGAAATGCGAAAAAAACGCGAAAACACCGAGAAAAGTGTCGAGAATAAAAAGTCCTGACTCGCTTTCTCTCTCTCTCTCTCTCTCTCTCATTCAGAAATCTTCCGCGAGTCCCGAACAATCCGACAGAGTCGGTATGCTACGACGGACTCTCGACAGCAACCGCTTTTGTACCCTAGGGAATAGTGGGAAGACGTCAAGGAAGAGAGGGGCCGACAAGGAGCCATGAGAGACGAATCCGTACAACGATGTCGGCGTAATTGTGTAACTTCGTGGCTGCGACGTACGAAACAATAACTGCTGGCAAATCGCATCAAACAATACCACGGCAGATTGCATCTTCCAAGGTGCGACGCGCGTCTCTCCTTTTTTCGCGTCTGATCTCCTTTGTCCTTGGTCCTCGCGTCGACTTTGCCATGTCCTCTTAACAAATAACTGCACGCCTCTATCGTTCCACAAAATCGTGATTCTCAAAGGCTACCGCCTTTGGTGAATCGCGGCAGAAAGGAGCGCGGAAAAGGTGGCGGGATAAAACGCGTTATCGGGGTACAAAAACGATTACGCCTCTTGACGCGCGAGTTTCGTGCAGGAAAGAGAGAACGAGGAAGCGCAAAAGGGCGCTCGATGAAGAGAAAACGTTCTTTTCTATCGCTTTTTGATAACCTCCCGGGAATGTCGTCCTTGTGACAAAAAGAAAAGGTCTTTCCGATAATGGAACAAGAAGGGGAACGAGGGTAAACTGGTAAAACGAAACTTCATATACATTTTCGTTATCCGCAACATTATTGTATTTCATAAATGTGACATCGATGTTATTTAAATATTCTAAATTATTATTATTAGTATATTATATTCGTGACAGATATTTTAAAATATATTTGAAGAGTAAGTCATGTTTTTTTTATTATTTGATATAATTTAAATGTAATTTCTTTATTTTTATTTGTTTTATTTTTTATATTTTATAATTTTAACGATAACTTGAATAATTTATTACAATATTTGACTGAGATTGTGTTTATTTTCTATTTACATTAATTTTATTTCTGTATTATTATGTCCTTGCAGTATATAATTTAAATATTAGTTTGTATATTTTGTGAAAGATCCTTATAAATTTGTATTTTTCTTTTTCTCTTTCTTCTCTTGCATATTCACACAAGAAGCTTATTGTTAGATTGTATAGTAAGAGTATATTAATTATACTCTTTCAAAATTCTGAAACGTGGAAAATTAAATTTAAAGTGACTTCTTACTTTTATTTTTAGTTTATTAACTTTATTACGTAGTAGAACTTTACTGATAGATTAATGAATAAATAAAGCTCCGGTAGTCATCAACAACAGATTTTTTTTTCAAATCCGCATGTATAATTTCTAAAAAAACATACTGTAAATATAGAATATTACGCATCAATTTTTACAAATGAAAGATAGAATATTAAAACATTAAGAAAAATAAAGTATATAATGTATGTAATTTGGATATGTCCTTTTATGTTTGGACAAATGCGAATATAATATATTTTCAGTTTATTTATAAAAAAAATAATTTTTATATAAATTATTATGTTGATATGAACCATAAATATTAACATATGTATACAAATATATAATAATGATACAAATTAAATATATTATATCTACTCAAATTTACTGTATAACATTTTTATTTATCTAACATTACAGCATATAGGATACAATTAATGTATCATAATGTGCGCTTTGTGTGCTTATTAAAAAATATTTGCCACATATTTGCAGGTAGTCAAATACATTATGATAAATCATAATAAAAGAAAATTTTTATTGTAAAGAAATGCAATTTGGTTTTAAATATAATTGCTTAATGGAATTTTTAAATTAATAGCAGAAAAGAGAGAGAAAGAGAGAAGAATATATTTTATGTATTATTTGTATTGAATTAAACTATTGCGTAATAACCCTTTGTACACAAAACATATTCCATTTAAAAATTTATTACAACCCGCTGTCTTTAATTATGCATTTACATCGCTTCCATTATAACTGTCCTACGCATTATTACATGAAAACCAGACAGGCAGGTACTTTCCACTACGACAATGTAATTATTTAGCAGGCATGAATTACGTTTCAACGAACAATTATTGATGACAGCGATATAAATTTAAAACTGCGCGATCCGATTGCGGCAATTACGGAACGTTACTCAACGTGGTGAATAATAATATATTATAGATCTCCTCGCATTTTTAATGTTTCTATGAAGTTTATAGACTGTATTTTCAATATAGTTTTTATCAATTTTTCTATCAATACAATATAATTATGCTATGCATATCAAGAGTTAATTAATTTTCTTCTTGACTACTGATATTTTCGTAAAATTAGATATAATTTTTAATAATTTATAAATAATTACTAGTGTGCAAAGTAACGTTACAAATATGACAATTGATAAAATTGCTATAATGTCCATGTCATATCTTTGGTACCAAGGCTCATGAGCAATATTGGTGCGCAGATGAGGAGCACCCTTATGACGAATGACGAATTCAATCCACCAAATTACATGTTCCAAAACGTCGTAAGGTTTATCTTCATTTAGCATTTTAACTTTGAGCATTCTTTTCTTGTATCTAAAGAACAGTAATAATATATTTTATACAAGAAGATTATAAAGAAAAGTAATACATTTTTATATGAAAAAATGTACTATTTTACAATTGCATTTGATTATATTTATATGAATTAAAAGTATATGTAAAATAATATTTTATAACAATTAGATTTCTGTGAAAATAATTAATGACATGACACAAGAAGATGTTTATGAAAAAATAAATACCTTTTATCACTCAAAATTTCCATTATAGATGCGTTCAGGCTTTCTCTCGATAGATCCATAAGATTTAAACGTTTTGCAACTCCTAAAGATACCATTTTGTTGATTTGAGCATACTGGTCGGCTAATACTGGTAGTCCTAAGAGTGGTACTGTATAATAAACAGCTTCTTCCGTGCTTTGAAGCCCACCTTGGTATATGAATAATCTAATGTTTGGATGAGCTACAAAACGAAAAGGGGAATTGGTTAATGAAGGTTATAAAAATATATCTTTGTAAACGTAGGTACATTTTTATTCGAATTATGGCGCTATATAGATTTACCGAGAATGCTCTGTTGAGGAAACCATTTAGCGGTATAAATATTGTCTGGTTTATTTGGTAATTCACTGTCATGTTTCCACAGAATTTTGTATGGCAAACTTATAAATACATCTCGAAATATGTTTTGCACATGTTCTGGCAGTGATGATATCATGACATTTGTGCCTAAACTCACATAAATACATCCATTTGGTGCGTCTGTTATAAATTTCTTCAAATCCTGGAACAAAATAATTATCTTCTATTTATACGTATTCGAGAAGAGAAAATATACATACGGAAACGAATTTTAGACACGAAGTAAATAAGAATATAATATTTTTTAAACAAAATTTCAACTATATTAAATGGAATGATTACTTCCGGTAAAGTAGCGGGTGTTTTGGAAATATGAAAATTTCCAAATGCTAAAACATTTGATGTTCTCGGTCTAACAAACGAGATAGCTTCTTGCTGATTGTAGAAAGCAAAACTTATGTTTCTTTCCATGTCGCTTATGTCCGGTATATTTTTTCCGAGATATTTTTCTGCTATCGCTTGCTGCTCAGGGTAAAAATGATTTAATACGCAATATATGTGATACCATTGACGAACAAAATTCTTTATTCTCTGCCATAATGACAGATTGAAACCGGTGTCATCCTCCATTTCCCATGCCGAAGGATGTGATGACAGAACAGGTGCACCGAGTAGATAATAATTATTATTATACAATCCAAACGTTGACACGCCTGTAAATAAATTTAGACATGTCATATAATGCAGTTAGTTCTTTACTTCATAACTTGTTCATACTTAATATAATTTTTATATTTTTTTGTGGATTATAATATTATATAATCACGACTCAAAAGGGAAAAAAATATCAATAAACCAAGTGGACTAACAACATGATACAACTAATGTTTTCAACTAATTTTGCGAATATAAAACTTACTTAAAATTTAAATAAAAGTTATATGTGGAGTTTATATATTAATACGGAAATATAGGACATTAAAAATTTGAAAATTAAAATAATCTATAGCTTTGCTCTGTATGTTTCATATAATATTTCGCTAAAAAGTAATAAATTTTAAATGAAACATTTGTAAATATATAACAATTTTATATATATCATTATTCTTACCTATAAGAGGTGCATTAAATCTGTGTGCCAAGGCATACAAACTAGGTGTCTTTATAGTTTCAGCAATTACTACGTCGAATTTTCGATCACTATCCGGTGCATATAGCTGATGTACTTCCGGATGCTTATAAATGTTTTCTGCTACTTCTCGACTCATAGACCACACTTGTGTGCGTACTGAATTTAGCCACGTTTGGGCTCCTACGTTTTTGACGAAATTTATTTTTCTTATTAGCTTGTAGTTAAATTCGAAGTTGATTTCAGTCAAATTGGTCAAACTGGGATCATTGATCGGATCCGTTGTTAAAAGGACGATTTCGTGTCCCCTTCGGCTCAATGTGGTCCATAATGGTCGATAAGGAATTTGATGACTGTAGGATGGTATTGCAATAATCGCCAAGATCTTTGCAGTTTCTATCGGTATGGCAACGTATAAGAGCCACGTTATCCAAAATGTTATTTCGGTATTCGGCTTCATTTTACCATCGATAATAAATCGAATTTAGTGCAAACTTAATTGTCATTGCTGCAATTTAACGAAACATTTTTAATAAATAAAACCGATGTATGTGAATAACGCAAAAGTAGAAAAGCTATACGGTCGAGGTTGGAATTTTTACAATTTTTAATTCATGCCAACTGCGCGTTGATTTTTTTATTTGTCAGTCTTGAAAAATTCACATAAAAATATTATTAAACACCAAGATTCACTTTGACTGAAAAAGGCGTGCTTTGCTTATTTGTATTATTTATTTATTTATTTTAACTTGACATGGTCACTGGAGTCCTATCCCGCTCGAAATTAAACGCAAAATGTTAAAAAGCATTCCAATTTTTTATCCGTATAAAATTTACTTATCTAATGAATGATGATCTGTACATAGTTCTCGTCGTAATTTGTTAGTGTTGAGTAATGCTGCAGTGCGATTGTTTTTAAAAGTGCATATCTGATTTATAACAAATAATTTACTCCGTAAATTAATTTTTTTTCTGATCAAAATAAGCGAATTAATAAATTAATAATACGAATAATACGTAGTTTCTTACCAAGTGCGTTTCAATTTATATGACATGTAGGCTTTGTGACGTGCAACTGAGTGCATGAATATATTTTAACTGTACAAGAACGTAACATCTGATTATCTGAATGAAGTTTCGAGTTGGATATGCGCTACTTAAAAGACATAAGCTAATCCGGGGAGCATGCTATCAGCGCTTTTACGTCATTTTATTCTTGTTTTATGTCTAATGCATGAAAGATAGAATAACGCAGTAACGCTGATAGCTTCTCCGGACGCAGTCAACGAAATTTGCATTTAGAGTACATATTCAAAATCTAAATATATTAGCAATACTGATATACGAAATAATTATAAATATAACGTTATCTACATAGCCTGCGGCTTATTAGTAATCTTATTGAATGTACAATTATACATACGACTTTTCAAATGCGACGATTTTGCATATCAAGTATAAACGCTCGTGTGATATTGAAATTCTACATTACGGCAATCGACAGAGAGGATATTTTCTTACACTTTTCTACCGCTACGTGACTTGGAGTCACGGTCAAATCTGTATTTGGGTGAAAAGTGAAATTCGTTTGAAACCGATGGTATACGTTGCGCGTGCACATTCGACGGACCGTGACAGATTGTAAAAACTCGCGGAATAGACGGACCGAAACTCTGTAGAGGTTGTAGAGTTTCTTTCGTTCCTCGTCCTCTTCATTTTTCACACACCGCCTATTTCTCTATCTGACCGCGCGGACCAAACCCCGTTTTTCTTTCTATCGCAAGAAAGTGAAATCTGACTGTTGCTTGTCGCCGCAACACGGAACAATAGTCTGTAATAGAGTCCACTAGTGCAATTCCAGCAAAAGCGTTATTTAAAGCATTGTTTAAAAGTATTATTTAAAGATTATAATTTCAAAAAGAGAGGTCCGATTCTCGAATAAGATAAAATAATAATATATGAATATATATGAATATATGAATAATATATGAATATACTATTATATAATGGCGTGTGTGAAATTAATTACATTAACTAAATTTATTTTGTATTTTTCCGATAGACAGAATTTCAAAATTGTTAATGTGATATGAAAGACAAGAGGACGACAAAGTACAATCTTGCAAGAATTTTTTTAAAGTTTTTGGACTTTTAATTAAAGAATCGGTTTGATAAAACATCAAAATTAGTAGTTATAAAATAAAAATTTGACTCACCAAATTGCTCCTTGCAATAGTTTCGTCGACCAATTCTTCTTCTTCTTCTTCTTTTTAGTCCGTAGTTTTGTCAAAGATGTAGTAATTTTTTTGTCCGTATATATCCGTTGATATATGGGACTTGTAGTTTTAACGTCAATTCCGGTCTATTAGAAGAAATTTTCGTGGTAAATGTACTCTCGGCCATTACCTTCCATCGATCGACTAACATGACCGATAACATATCAATAATATTCTTAAATGTAATTCTTAAAATTATTGTCACATTAATACTTTTATAGACCATTGTTTTTTGTCTTGTATTTTATTGTTCTCCCCTCTTCTAAGGCGTTTGAAAATTTATGTCACACTTTAATAATATTAGAATTGTATTAATAACATTAGCTATAGTATCATTCTATTCAGGCGCATTGAGAACTAAACTGAGATTCTTTAAAACGCGGCATCTTGACGTTGCTGTATGTGATATATATCGATTGTCGGACACAATTTAAATTTCGCTTGCCTAATTTAAAGATGCTTGTGAACTTATACTAAATATCAAAAAATTATCTCTCATAAGCATGTCTTTATTTCTTTATGGTTACGATTTTTTAGCTCAATTAAATACTATAGAATCAATCATATACTTATACTAAATACAATCATACACTTTGTGTTTTATTTCAATAAAATTAATTACACGAGATCAAACATTTCTGACGGTTATTCTTTATACCAAAACATACAAGTGCGAGGATACTCTTTAAAATTCCTGATACTCGTAAAAAGAAATAGTTTGTTGAAAGTTGCAGCGCGAAACTACTCCGTTTAGTCCGAAGTATTCGCGCGTACTTGCATACATGAGATCAAAATTCCTGACGGTTGTTCTTGCATTTTGCACCAAAATGTACAAGTGCAAGGACATTCGCTAATTTACCCTGACGGTAGTTTGTTGAGAATTGGGGAAACTCGGAAGTGCTCCGTTTAATCTGAGCTATCCACACGTACTTTGTTGAATTTGACTAATTTTTAATTTTCTCTCCAAGGACGCTTTAAACTTTAATTACATACATGATGTAGTAAATGAGTACCACGTATTTTTTTCTTTTTTATATATTTATACTTATACCGATAATCATTATATCTAATCTTTCTCTCTTCTGTAATAGTCGATGCGCCTTTAATTAGGTATTACGACTCTTTACCATCTATAATTCATGACGAACGATTTCGTTCGTAATGACGATAGACGCCTACATTAAATACATAAGTACTTGAAAAGTTACGGGAACTTTCGTAACCCCGCGACATTACTGAGGGCTTCGTAATTCTGACAACCCGAGGATAAGTTCGATAATAACGATGGAAACGTTAGGAGAGGCGGTCCTTTTCTGAGTTAGTGTCGTACGTATATAAGAGTCGTAATAATAAAATTCACATTAATCTTTCGCGGAACGTTCACGGAAGGGGAGAGGAGAGCGAAAGCAAGAGCGGGTGTGAGAGAGACAGAAACGGAATGGCATCGGCGCTCGTCGTGCTTCAACCCAGAACTGCGGAACTATTTATGACTCCAGTCCATTTGTCGAACGTCACGAGGGATTTCCGGAAATTGCTTTAAACGCGTAATGGCACGTCCGCTTTCGGAGTTTACCAGTCGGGTCACCAGCTGTCATAATAAAAACGTTGATATTGTCCGCGATGGCACCACCGCTGTGCGTGACTATTGCGAATTGACGGGAACGATCGGTAGACGCCTGGCAGATAGACATTTCTTCGCAAAACGATTTCCGACAATTACACACGAATCATACGCCTAAAGTAAATTCTGCCTTTGAATTAAAGCTTTTTGTATCGACCGCCTTATTCTACGGAAAATAAAACTTTACGGTAAATATTGTAAATTTGTTTTTTTTTTTTTTTTTCGATTAATTCGTATAGCTAAAGATACACTAGAATGTAGCAACCATGCATCAAATTGAGTCTTTAAATCCTTATTTAGATAATTAAACGGATAATTAAAAATACGTCATAATTTGCTTTAAAATACATAAATCATATGAAGAAGAAATTACCTATATAAAATTGAAGAATATATACAGTTATATATGCTTATACTTTGAATAAATTTAAATTACGATGTGTGAATCTTATTTCCGATATCGATGTAGTTTGGTCACGATAAAGAGACGGGTAATATGCAACGAAACTATATATGCAGAGGCAATTACTTACACTTAGCGTGGTAACAACACAACCTGAAGGCATTCCTGGTACCGCCTGAATTCTTCTGGAAGTTTGGCGTACGTTTCAGCAAAGCTGAAATTATTAACCGCAACTCCCATATTGTGTCTCGTGCAGAACTGGGTGGCATAATTAAGAGGACTCCCGCTGTCGTTGACTAGCACGTGACTCGACCTCGGTACGGCCTGGCACATACATTTACAGACATGCAAACCGACGCTGTGAAACCGACGACGTGTCTTAGGTTCAGCTTTACTCGGCTATCTGGATCTAGTTACGAATTTGCATTATAGGATAGACCGTCAGGAGTTTCTCCGCAAAATTGGAAGGGCTTTCGTGCATTTGCTTAAATTTTTGCCGTGTCGGTTGTTCATTTAGTAAAAGAAAAAAAGAGACTCTGACTTTCTAAATAAAATTGTTAGGAAAAAAAACTCTATCTCTGGAGAAACGCTGATTAAGCTCTACGTTCTCTCGAACATTCTTGAATCCAAGATACTTTTTCTCCATATTCATTTTTTTATTTCTAACACGTTTGAGAATTTTTGAACGCGTATCAGAAATAAAAACTCTGAATATAAGGTGAAATACAAATTGTATATGCTATGCAGATATTTAGAAAAAAAAAACATATATGCGGCTGCTGGTTACGAACACATTAAAGTTTCGCGACGCACGAATTTCGTCGCACAGTCAAGATGCTTCCACAGATGGGGTGGATTTGAAATGCACGGTGCGCGAAGGCATTACCGGTGCACCAGTCTGCGCGGCGCGTTGGTGCAACGTGAGAATGCGGAGGTGTTACAAGCGGGACTCTTAACATCGCCTTTAATACGACAGCGCACGCAACGCGTTGCGGTTTGGTACGGACATGTTTATTTAGTAGTTCGCTGGTGAAGAGGGTCATCCGGGGTGTGTTGCGGAAATAGACGACGATACCACGCGGCGGGGATTGAGGAAGCTTTGAAAGCGCGTAGGGGTGTGTTGGTGAACGAGGAGAGGCGAAGATGCGAAGGTAGTCGGAGGGGTCAGACCGCAGCTATCGCATCCTGTAAATCATGTATAATTGTAATTTATACCGCGCATCAGCCTATGTTAATTATAACGCAGCGTCACGCCCCGACCACGACGAAACGAGTTTACGAACGTGCCGCAACAGAAGAATTTACGAGCTTCGTGGAGGGAGTACCCTCTCGTCCCGAGGGGGTGTTCGGTCGCTCTCGAATATTCCCTTTTTTTCCCTTTCGTTCGTATCCACCGTTTCTTCTCTCTCTCTCTCTCTCTCTCTCTCTCTCACTCTGTCTGTCTCTGTCTCTCTCTTTTTACCGGTGTGACGCGATATCTCGCGGATAGCTACGAACAGTTCGCGCAAACGTAATGAACGACGGAGCTTTTGCAACCAGCATGAGTCCATCGGTGGATAAACTACGAAATATTATCCCGCCACATACTGTCCGGGGGATTGTCATCTGACGTGCATGTACGCAGCCAGGACTATGGGATACTTGCCAATGTACACTGTATGAGTTACGAGCGAATGAATGCAGTTTTATTCTTTTCTCGCGGCACCACATTGCGTCGAAGATTCGTCCGGTATTGGACGCTGTAACGTTATTTGTGCTTGCAAATGTATCACGTGTTTTTTGGGCTAAATTTTAATTAAAACCCTCGTCATATCCACACACACGGACGAGAGCCATGTATGATGAGTTCTCCAAAGTGAGATGAAATATGAGCATAAAACATCTATAATAGGGGGACACTAGGGGTGTATTTCGAAATATATATATCTGTAGAAAATTCAGCGTAACGCATGGTCAGTCTATAACGCATGATTTTACCGTGATACCACGGTGTGGTTTTTTATTACGATTTCGCGAAATATGCACATTTTCAACCGGTCGAATCAGATTTTCGTATAGTTCCAATTTTTCCTTCATCTTCGCCGCTCATATCCGATCGAATGCACTCGCGGCGTTTGGGCTTCGGCGCTTCGGTGCAGACATATACTGCAGCGTATAAGCGCACACAAGCGCGTTTTCGATGCAATCGGCACAGAATGGCGTAAGAGAGCACTCGAGAGCCGGGCGAGCTCTAGCTCCCGGCAGTAAATGGCTGGCGAAGCGCCGGACATTCGATGCCTCCGAAGCTCATCGGTTCGCAGCTGACGTGTACAAGGAAATGGCATTTAACGGATTAAAATCAGCCGTCCGGAGAGCTAACGTGCAAGAGCCCGATAACGGCCGACTGTAGTTACGATTTTTGCGCATTCGATTTTTCACCGAGCGATCACCGATCAGGCAGCAACGTCCAACATTATCGATTTTGTTATAAAACCGTCAACCGGTGCAAGTCATTTTATTTTGTACAGTTTTACTGCCGATGAGAAATTATTTAGAGAAAAAAAACGTTTGATTACAATGTGTGTAATTAAAAATGATCTATACATGCTTACATATACAAGAAAATCACGTTTCGTTTAAACTTTATTTGAAAATGATATAAAAGAATTATATTACGAATATATATCAATAAATTACTGTAAAAAATATTACTCGAAAATTGTACTTTTCAATTACTCAACTTAATTTACAACGTGTTTTGCGCGAATACGTTAATACGTCGATCTTTATAAATATTTTAATAGCAGTTTCTTGATAGATGGATTTTATTAAACTGTGTATATCTCTGAATTCGGTGTCAGTAAATGCGTTCCCTGAAAAGAGAGGTACGAGCCGATGAACTCCGTCATATTTCATCTCACTTTGAAGGATCAAAGTTGGATATGCCGTTGACCCCTGAAAAAAGGGTTAACGAAAGCCGATGTTATCTGTATGAAATATACCGTGCAGAGAACCGCACAATATTTTACCTCGTAGCGATGCGGCCGCCTTTTTCGTATTCGGCGATATCATATCGAGAAACATAACGAGATTTCGGGATCGATGACGCTAACCGTAGGCGCCATCATCGAATTTGCTAACGAGACCCGTGACGATATACCATGCCATCGACTCAGCGGAACTGTCATTAAAAAAAAAGCCAGTTATAGCGAGCCGCCTAGGTTGGGGAGAAAAACACGCGGTCTCGCGATTGCGGCAAACGAAGCCACTTTGAAACGGCGAACATAATCGATACGTCTGCCGTACGGGCAAACGAAACGGATGGAAAAAGCTGAACGCGGATTAAGCCGCGGCGCGCAATGTCGTTGACAATTCAGCGAGGTGAAAATGTTTTGCCGGCGTATCTGGTTGCGCCAGCTGTTCCGTATATAGCACCAACCACGCCAATAGCTACGTGCATTGGGAAAGATAATTCGATGTGTAACGAATTGCTTTTTGACGAACTTTCGAATTTCGTACGCCCTTGTAGACCGCGACCGTGTCGGCGTGGCGACTCGCATCGATTGGTAATGCTTTGCGAATTACTTTACTGCGTATAAAGTTTTAATGAACTCCAATTATACGAGCTCCAATTACGAGATGTCTATTTCTTATTTTAACCTAGTCATTTATATACAGATAAGAGATTTCGCACTTTAGCTTTACACTTTAATTTATATTACTCGGCAGAGACATTTTAATACCAGGAAGACTTTTAATAAATGAGAGTTAAATCTGTCACAGATAATTAGATAACTAATTTATTCTTTATCCTAAAACGTCTAAAGAGATCCATCTGCAAGGATATTTATGTCTAGATTTATTTCCAATTGTATAGTACAGAATTGTATAGTAATTGGTATTAATTAGTATACATTATACAGTAGTATTAATTAGTACTTACTATACAATTCTGTATTGGAAATAAATTTAGACATAAATATCCTTACAGATAGATCTCTTTAGACGTTTCAGGATAAAGAATGAATTAGTTACTAATTTTCTGTGACAGATTTAACTCGCATTTACAATTAATTGTAAATTGTTAATCAATATAATTATGCTGAATATATCGTATGTGAAATCAAATTATTTCTAACACAATTTTTAAAGCAAGAATAAGATAGACCGAGGACAAAAGTAACATTTTGAATTTAAACTCTTATAACAGTTAAACTATAATATTTACATTAAAATCTATATCTTTAGATGTAGAATTTATTTAACTACAAAATTTTCTTGTATTTAATCTTGTAATGTAACTAGGAAAAAAGTTATTACTGTTTAAACGCTATAAGAAATACTGTTATAATCGTTTCAGCTTCTGGGACGATGGTACCATATTATTCATAAGTAAACACTTATAGCTATTTATTAAGTTTTACACAATACAATTATTTATAATCATATATGTTAATTGTAGATATGCAATATATATTTAATAAAATTAACTATAACAAGATAAAAAAAGACAAAATTTATATAAAAACAAAAAATAGTTCTCTTTTCTTCTAATAAGTACAAATAACATTGTGAAAAACAACACTCAAATAAAACCAAGCAAATCTGGGGACGATTGTAACGCTACAATTGTCCCCAGGCATCGATATTACAATTGTTCCCTAATTTATGATTCGAAGTAAAGTTTCAAAATAAATATATAAATGAAAATCAATTAAAATATGCAAATGATCAACATTATAGATGATTACTAAAACATTTTAAAATAATACGTACTAATTGTACTTTCATTATAAAAAACAAAAATATTTTAAATTTTGTGCATATAATAAAACTTACTTGAGGAATGAAAAAAGTATTTCTTGCTCTTATACACGTGCACGTTTCGTGGACCGACAAAGAACTAACAAACCGGTATGTCTAATGTCGGTATATCTTATAATTTTTGCTTTATGGCCACACATTAACACAAACCTATTGTAGTTTTAATAATATTGACGATGTTACAACTGTACTTAGTTATTTTTGTCCCCGGTACACCTCAATTCTTGTTAAAAATTAAAAGTTATACACGTTTTTACATAATTATATATAATTATAATTTCAAAATTATGTTATTTTATATATATCCAGAAACAATTTTGATAGTACTATGTAAAATGAGGCAAAGATTTTTGAGAAATGGATGATATAATTCGTGCGCATGTTCGTATATATAGTAGGTGCTGCTCTTACAAAAAGCCTTTATTGCCGGTAGTGCTCTAAAACACATATAAATAATTTTACTGTAATTCACTTCGACTAGTCGAACTAGTCGACTTAACTGTCCAGGTCATTAATTTTTAACTGTCCAGGTCATTAATTTTTAACGACGTTTTGACATTGACTTGTAATTATATGTTGTAAGAATATGAGGATACTTTTGAAAGATAAGATAAGAAAAATAAGAAAGAAAAAAACACAAAATTTTAAAAATTCATTAATTGGAATTATTGATATAAAATTAATTATATTTGTTATCTATTAATATAATGTTGATATATTACATACAACGTAAAAACAACGTAAAAAAAATTAACAATTCGAATTATAATAGTTTCTTGATGATAAACTAAATAAAGATATTAATGAATATCAATAGTGTTATAATAACTATTTTTATCGTTGAAAAATTGGTGTACTCGATTGCATCAGTTATCGTGCTCATCTTTATTTTGAGTCTTTTGTTAATTGAGTTTAGATTGTCTGTTACTAAAATAATTTGGCAGCTAATCGACATTTCTCGCGAAGAGAGTACTTCGGCGAGAGGTCGTAGGTATTATTCAAAGACCGCACAAGAATTGATCCAGTTATGAAAAGGTCAATTTCACCTCGTCGAGCTACCGGCGTCGTTAAATCTGATTGCCGCAGCGTCGCAATTCTTCCCGGCGCGGCGTGGCGCGGCCACCGCGCATTCACGATTAACGGCGAATGCATGCCAGCCGCGTCTGCATTCTGTTTGGCCCGACGCTAACGAACTATGAATTCCAAAAGTAAAGAAGTAAAAACAAAAAAAAAAGAACACAAAAGAGTGGAGCGGGCGACAGAGCGGTTACCGCCGTGAGCCACGCGGACGGCCGAAAGTGCTGTCGGAACTCGATGAATTATTCACGTCTATTCTTCGTCCAACCGATTCCGTACGCGATGAGAGCTAGACGCAGCGTGGTAACTGCGAGTGGCTGATTCGCGATAACGACGGGCGCCAGATGGAAATTCCGTTCGCAGTCCTGTCCAGCTGGCCGTATGCGACTTAGGGAGCTTCGCACACGCGTACCTGCACGCGCGTGTGATGGCGCGTGAAGTAGCGAGAGACTCTGTGCGCGCGCGCTAACGCCTCCGGTCATGTAAATTGGCGAACGTAAATACGGTCCACGCGCGCTCTGGCAGCACACACGTACATACATATAACATACATACACCGGGGAAGGGACCGGCCGGTTTATCTGAGGCATAACCCGACGACCCGCATTAATTGTCGTCGTCAATCAGAGGAACCCGTCACCACTGACGGAATGCGATTAATATTGATCAGCTCGCGTCTCTACACTCTCTACCGTGAACGAGCGATATCGACCTTGCGGAGAATCGAGTTGCTCACGGTAATGGCTTCCGCGCGATACGATGTTTATGATGTTGCGAAACGGAAACTGCTCAACGTAAGCACGTATGCAAGCATGCAAGCATGCAAGCAAATAGTTCGAGGGAAATTAGTATAGAGAGAGAGAGGAGATATCTATTTATTTTATTATAGTATTTAATTTCCACGATTATAAAACGAGAAATCGAAAATTTGTCATATTGAATAAAATCATTTGTTCATAATTTGTGAAATATACAATTTGTAAGTGTACATTTTGTTCAAGTCGAGTCTTTCAATGTGGCGTTTTCGCAATTAGTGTCAGTTCATTAACAGCTCAAGTATAATTATAGCGAGCAGAAAGTTCACGCGAAAATTTCTCGAAGGATGAAGATTTCCATCGAGAAATCTCTATCTTCTGACACGTGAGGAGAGTCAAAGATTCAGCGAATTTCTCATCAGGTTGTGGTAAATGGAAGCTGATTAGGAGCGACTCGGCGAAATTATCTCCATAATCCGTTTCTAACGCGGATTGAAGGGATCGTACTCAAATAGGATTCACTTCTAAATTTACGGGCGGGCCTTACGTCGGGGATCGTCTTTGCTCGATCTTTATCGGTGTTTCCGCTGTGCCGCTGATCAGATTCACTTTCGTCGTTTTGCACAAGTTAGTAAAGAAAGTGAGTGATCGGCACAAATGCATACCGAAAAGAAGAATTAAACGCGACCGTGATGAATCTTCCTCCGGAAATTAATTTCACGAGAGGCCGGCTCGGATTGTTTAACGAGGGACGCATTGGATGAATAGTCATCCCCATTTCATTGTCAAACTGGATTACGTAAACCGCGAGAGCTAGATTCTTGGGCGGGTTTATGCAGGAATTATGACGATGCGATAATTTCTGCGAAAATAATTTGAATAAAAAAAAGTGTATGATTAACTATTGACTTTAAATAAGAGAAATTTTACATTACATTAATATAAGAAAGTTCTGAGTAATTATTTTATGATAAGAATGTTTCTTAGAGCTAGCTAGAAATTGTTAAATCTTATTATATTATATTACTTATAAATAGACCTTCGCGAGGCAAATGAACTTCCGTTAAGATGTATCTACATGGAATAGTGCAAGAATAGATTTGCATGAAGCCTATCAGTAAAGATGAATAGTAATTCAGAAAGCTGACATGGCATAACAATATGCATTTCGTTACTGAGGAGAATGCAACGTAGACGCGCATGGAATGTATATTAAGCGCATATCTATGTTATAGTATAACTTAACTTCTCATTAACCTACATATCTTGACAAACAAATGCGAGTCACGGTCGCTTCATATGAATAATCATATTGGTAGCAATACATATCTTTCTCTCTCTCTCTCTCTCTCTCTCTCTCTCTCTCTCTCGCCTGTCTTATTTGTTATTCCGCACACGATATCTCGAAGATTGAATAATCAATTATCAAATCTTCCTTAACTTAAATTTTCTTAGATGCATGTACAACTTGTCTAATTTTAAGATTTGTTTGTTGGATTTGCTGACAAATTTTAATGCATTTAGATCAATTGTGCATTCCTCGAAAGTAAAGTAATCTACGTTTTTTCAAAAACGTAGTCTAATTTGATAAAATTTTACATCTGATTTTATAGAAACATATTTATCCAACATCTAGTTTTACTTCAAAAACTCTAATTATGACAAAAAAAGTTAACAATTTGAATTTGTTTAATTTTAGGAACGGCGGCGGCGTCAGAATTCGGTAAGTCAAATTACACCCTTCTTCCCGTGATGATCACCGAGGATGGGGTAAGTGTCCAATAACAAATCGAAAATAATTCGTAGAAAATTAAAAAAATAGTTCAAGCGATTAAAGATTATTACTTTATACTTGTTTTCTCCATCGTTTTTTTTTTCTTGTAAAAGAATCTTTCGCGATTTAAATTCATCGACGTATTCGCGATCTTTCGTTAAGGATTACAAACGTTACGTCCAGAGCGCAATCCTTTTTTCTAAATTAACCACCTCGGTTGCATCCGTCCACCCATACCACGGTGGTGTACGGTCCATTATCGTCGCGGATACCGACTCTCCTCTCTTTCTCGGTGAGATGTGGATCCTTCTTTCTTTACGACGGCGGTTTTGGCAACAAGCTCGTCGTAAATTCGGCAGATAATTCTTCCGCTCTGGCGTTAACCTACATTACGACGATTTATTGCGGTTTATAACTTTACGGTATTCGACGGTCTTTCGACGGCTAAGTTCAACTTCGTGAGTTGTACAAGTTGCGTTTGTCAAATATAGTAAGAATAACGCGTTTTTAAACGATATTAAGATACAATTAACACTTATTGCATTATAGATTTATATGTACCAATTTTTTTTAATTAAAGGAATATTTAAATGATTTGTCAGAAATCTCGATTCGATATACGACAAATATGAATTATACAATCGTTGTTTCCGATACAGAACTCAATCATTGATGTTGGCGTAATGCGTCCATTAAAGCTCATTTCTGTTCACGGTTAATCGATCTCAAATTTCAACAGTGCCATGTAAAAATTAACATTATTAATCATTCATGAGGAACGACAGCTTCCTAGTAGACGTCATAATTATCAACTTTGCGGAATAATTATCACGAACTACGAGCCCGAACGGATATGCGGCGCCATGAACGGGAGGCGAATTGTTCCTTTCGTCGCGTCAACGTTACACGACCGCGCGACTGTTTGGACGTTTCGCGAAATAACATCGAAGGCTGGGGGGGAGGGGAGGGGGGACGCGGGGAATAGGGTGCGTAAATTACGAGGAGCTTGTTCGTGCCGGCAATAAATCATACGGGAGGCTGACAGGAACCCAGTCGCGACACCGTTGCACACCGTCCGTCGATTTAAAGTGTATACGTGTGCGCCGCGAGTATTTCAGAATTCAGGAATGTATCGGCATGGAGGAGAGATGAGGGCGAGCTTCGCTTGTCAATTAATTCCATGGCTTTCCGATATCTCGCATTTGGCATGCGCATTGAAAGTACGACTTTGCCGATTGGAGCTGATTCATCTCATTGAAAGAATTCAACCAATTATCATCGCGTTATTCGATGGTTTTGCGTAAAAGCGTTTGGTGGATAATTCAAATTAATAATCTGATTTGGAATACAATATTATTAATAAAGATGTTATTAAAGTTTTTATAAGTTTTAAACAAAATTTAATTCTAACTGATGACGTATTGATACATGGGATTTTCTAAATCATCCGTACTTTTTAACGGCATCAATATATTAAAAATGAAATCGAGATAGCACTTACCAACAATTTGCCAGAAATCATAACAGTTTATAGTTAG